ATATATGTTGTTAATCTGATGTGTTGAATTTGTCTAGCACAGCCCTAATATGCACTTCGTAGTAACGATATTCGGGGAAATATATCAAATACAACTCAGAAATACCTTTGCCAAATTTTATCGAGATCGGTTAAGATTTGGATATAGCTCCCCAATTATCTTTATCAGATTTCAAGTTAATTGTGCACCAAATGGGTAATACAAGCCTGAATTGAAAAGGCATTCAGAGGAGGATATTCCTCTCATATATTAGTTCCTTTTGACTTTAAATTATAATTATAATCATAGTTGGTATGATTTAATTTTCACAAATTCCCCATTAAAACTTATATTTGTTATATGAAGCTCTACTAAATATGCAAAGTGGTGTAGAGTACATATCTCATATAAAGTGAAGGAAGTAACCAATATGATCCAAACTTGGCACGTCGCAGTATTTATATCACATTTAGTTGTTGCAAAATGTAATTCTTTTGGAAAATATTCTAAATTTTACAATGTTTTTTGTCATAGATGTTATTTTTAAATATCCCAGACAAAAAACAAGGGAACTGATGAGGATTGGTGTGGCTCTTTCCGAAACCTAGATATTCCCTGCCTTACTTCCTGGTAAACATTACCATCGTTCTCCACTAATAAACAAAAAAAGGGATTAAGCCTGGCCATTTTGCAACAACAAAATACTATGTCTATACTACTATCTAATATCATATTTATTTAGGTCTGATACGAAATGGACAATATAGGCCTATTTTTTCGGAACCTACTCCACAGAGGTCCAGAAATTTTAATAATTATAATAGAATTCAAAATATATTTAAATAATTAAACCATGGTAGAATTAAGTAGGCAAAGTCATGCGATCATATGTTTACAATTTTTCCAAAATTATTCATTTGACATCATCTCATTGTAAAAAAGTATATTTATGAATTCATTATACATACACAAATCTGGGATGGGAATCTGTTTTCTATGCGGAGAAAATCTGAAAATTACAGAAAATGCAGAGATGGGAATGCTTATTTGAAATGACTTTACTTTCTTATTTTACCATGAATCAAACATTGGCTGAGGGTATAAATCCGTCTCTTTTGTATAATAATAAGAACACAAATGGAATTGCCAAAAAATGTCCAGTACGAGCAATTTTATGTCATTTCCTTTCCCCTTACCACTCTTTCTTCTCTAGTGACTTGCCACAAGTAAACTCGGATATATAAAAATATATTTTTTGTAGGCTATTGACGTGTATTATCATTTTCACTTGTTTTGTAAAGCATTTTTGCTAGGAATTGTTCCATCCAAATCGATAGTCTCGAATAGAAACGTATTGAAATATCTTGATTCGGGTTCCGAATCGTGTACTCTACCAATACCGTTTGTTTGTCTTTCATATCATTGCCTGTCTTGAACATTGACCTCTCCAAAAATCATTGATATTTTTTAATCACGCCACATTGTTTAGTACATGATGAATGGAATCCTCAGCAGAGATGTTTCAAGGAGGTCCAACATTATATAGAAAGGGAGATCCAGTAACAGCATTTATTCGGAGAAGATATGTGGCTACAGCTTGTGAAAATAGATGTATTTCTATATTCGTGGTTGAAGCCAAATTAGTTGGAGCATGTCAATTTAACTACCGCAACAACATATTTACCCATCCATTGAAACAAGAAATAATACACAAAATTGTTCGTAATTTTAATTTTTTTATATATATTTTTTATTTTCAATTAAATTGTTTTTGTAATTTATTTTTATTTTTTTTTTTTGCATTTTTGGTTTTTTAGATTGATTTCATGTTATTTTTGTTTTGGTTTTTTATTCTACTAATAAATTATGCTGCAAATACATTTATACAGTTCATACCGAATTAAATATTGCATTTAAAGAAATTTGTTATTTTTTACGAAATTATACTACAAATTTGATGTTTTCAATTTGTTTGGATGTTTCCTGTTGAAAACAACAATTGCGAAAGGCAATTGCTTTTTGTTTTCCATTGTCATAACATAGCTTCCCTAGCTTTTTTACGTTATTTTAAATTTTGTATTATCTTAATTTTTGTTAATATATATTTATGTATTTATAAATATAATAATTTATATTTTTTGTTTGTTTGTTCTACAATATGCATTTGTAAAATCAAATATTTTTAATTTTTTTGTTGTTCTAAGCGCGCTTCAAGGTTTAAAGAGATTTTGTTGGTTTATGATTGTTTTTCTTCATTTAATTTATTTTTTCTTAATTTCGAGGAAAGCTTTTTTTTGTTAATTATATTTTTAGAAATCATATAAATAATTAATATTGTGTTTTGTATTTAGGTGTTACAGAGTTCTTGATTGAGTTATATTTCAGTTATATACCTGCATGAATCGAAAACATTTTCCTTTCAAATAAGGAACGACTCTCCATTGAAGTCAAAAATTTCCACAAGTGAGAAATACGATGACTCCAAAGAATCTCGATGCGTCGAGAAGGCTTGCATTTTTTCATGAACGAAAAGGTTAGAACTGCGGTCTTACAACACAATTCCTTCCGATGTTTGGATGTTTTGTTTCATTCAAAAATGCTGGATAAGTCTTAATATTTGGAACAATAAAAAACTCAAAACTTTTTTAATTGTATCCTAATTCTTCAATTACTGAATATTTGTAATCAAAAAAAAAAAAAAAATAAACGAAAAAGCAACCGGAAGAGAAGCCTGGTTTGGATTCAACCTTCTAGAAATATTTACATCTCTAAGGTAATAATATCTTGTTACAATGGGAAGTCTCATTTTTCCCCTGCTGATCCTTTACAAAATTAGAAGAACTAGGTTCTTTAATTTGCTTTTTCAAATCCACCACAGTACTTCCCGTGGGTTGTATGCAAATGGTCTGGGTCAGCTTTAATATTTGGAACCATAAGAAATTCAAAACGTTTAAAGTTGTATCCCAAATATTCAATTATGAAATCTTTTCAATTAAAAATAACCGCAAGAAGTGGGTTGTATTGAATCTCTACGAAAGATGGACTGCCAGAATCCAGGACCAAATCTACTTCAAATCCAACTAGAAGACCACAGTACCTCCCGACCTTTAGATAATTGGTTGCATGCAAATGGTCTCGGTAAGTCTTAGTCTTAAGGAACAGTAATCCTGAATCTATAGGATATTTTCAAACAAAAATAACCGCATGTCTGGTTTACATTGAATCCTAAGACGATTCGGCTATTTACACGAGCAGACATCGGGTGCGAAAAATTACCAAAAAAATAAATCTGTAAGTCCAGCGACAACTAAAGCACTCCTCACGCAGAAATTCTAGCAATCCCAAAAGTTGCTTGAGCCTTTAATGATCTCGATGCTAACAATACAGGACCATATAAATGCCGAACACATTCTTGAGAAATTTACAAAACTATGCAAGAAGACTTCGTATGAAAAGTCATATGGCCATACTAAGAAGTTAAAAAGGTTGTCTTTAAAAATTTCGCAAGGTATCAGAGAATAAAGATTCTTTTCATAAAATGGGCAAAAAACCTTCTTACAAAAAGTCAGAGGGTCTTCTTTAAGTGTGCCTTCAAATATGTTTATAAAGACCACAAGGACTTGTTATAGGAGACCGGAAATTTGTCGAACACTTTCTCGTAAGGAAAGTTGGAGTCATCACATTAGAGAACATCGGAGAACAAAGTGTCTTCTTATAAAAGGTCAAAAAATCTTTTCACGGAAAGTCAGAGGGTCCTCTTATAAAAGTACATACATATTTTTTTTATAAATACTAGAAGGTCTGGTCATAGGGGACCAAAAGGTTTGTTCATAGGAGATCAGAAGATCTCCTAATTCAATACTAGAAGGTATTCTTATACAAGGTCAGAAGGTCTCCTTTTGAAGGAATAGAAGATATTCTGTAAAATGGCAAGGAGCCTTTAATGTATTCCAGGTATGCATTTTCAATTCAAAACGACCCAGATTATATGCTGACGAACTGGATTGTGGAAATTGGATTTAGTTATAGGGCAGAGTCTCTTTATAGGAAACCAGAAGGGTATTTCATAAGAGAACGGAAAGTCTCCTAATAGAATACTGGAAGGTTTTCTTTTATAAGTTCAGAAGGCCTTCTTGTGAAAGAGTAGAAGGCATTATGTCAGGAGGCAAGCAGCCTTTAAAGTAATTAAAGCATGATAAATATACAAATATGTGATATGAAGGACATCATTAGAAGGCCTTAATATAAAAGTCTGTAATGTATTATCATCGGAAAACAAAGAGTCTTATTATAAAAGGTCAACAAATCTTGTCACGGAAAGTCAGAGGATCTACTTAAATCAGTCCCTGAAGTATTTTGATAAAACCAGAAGGTCTAGTTAAACGAAGGAAAGGTTTCTCTAAAGGAATCCAGAAGAATTCCAAAGTTCTCCTTGTGAAGAAGTAGAAAGCATTGTGTAAGGGGGCAAGGAGCTTTTAAAGTTATCCCGGTAGGCACTTTAAATTAAAAAAAAAACACGACTATAGAATAGCCCCAGATTGCATACGGACCCAGATGACGAACTGGCTCGTGGGAAATAGTATTCGATGAGCAAGATGGGCAGGCGGTTAAACATTCATTTTTGTGCATCCCTTGTGGAAAACAACAGACATGTTATTTTTGGAATTGCATAAGGCTACAAAGATCATCTGTAACACCTGTAACACCTACTACACAAAAAAGTCGTAGTTTTAAAATTTAAATCAAAAAATGAAAGCTAAGTGAAATGTAAATGTAATTATCGAAAACTATATGTGTTTCTCTTTTTAGATGTTACTATCTTTTTTTTCTTCTTTTAAGCTTATACTAATATAAATTCTATTCATATATTTTCCAAGTCTATCATTTTGTTTTCGGTAGCATCATCGTTTTCAATACTGATTGCACATTGCAATATATAGATAATAACTAAAACATGGCAAACGAAACGATGGAAATCATGTCAGAACAAAAAAAAAAGCAAATGAAATAAAAACACGAAATTTGTTTGTTTTGTTAATATTTTTTGGGGTGGTTTTTTAATTTCAAAAAAATAATAAAACTTAAACATAAAACCTTTTTTGTATAATAAAAAAATATGTCCAATTTTAATACATATATAGATGATATTTACATACACATACAAAAAAGTTGTTATACAGATTTTTTGTTTAATACATTCAATACATTTTTTGTTTTCAAAAAAACATACATATATATTTATAATATATTTTTTATATTATAAAATAAAATAAAAATATAATAAAATTGGTAGAGATTTGCTAAAAAAAACAAGCCTGGTGTAGAGGTGGTGGGGTGGGAGACAAATAATTGTGGAATACATGAGGTAGCAGGTAGGGTTCAGGGAAGGCTAAACAATTAACATGGGACCATAAAAAACGCTGTGCTTAAAAAAGACAACACCTTACTTATTCAAAAAAACTGCAACTAAAAACATTTCTTTTATACAAATAATGAAATTCAAACTTTAACAAAACCCATCTACAGAAGACATAAAACACTTTACAAAATTCCTTAATTACCAAATAAAAACTAAAATGAAAAAAAAACTTTACAAAAATAAAAGAATCAAGAAAACATAAAATGGTTTTGTTTTTTAGATTTCAACTAAAACAGAGATTTTGTTACAAAGAAAAGGAACGAAAATTCTAAACGAAAAAAAAGAAACAAGATTCAAAATAAACTTAAAATATAAAAAACTTAATTTCCGGTTTGTTTGTTTTATAGCATTTTTAAGCTAAGCGTGTTGTTTGTTAAAAACTACCTTCATATTAATGTTCCTATATAAAACCTAAAGACTAATAATATTTTTTTTAATTCTATATATATTTTTGTTATGTTTATATAACACCTGATACAGTTTTCTCATAGGGTGTACCCAAGGTGTCTCTTCGTCGTGGCAATGTACCACTTGCGGTCAAGGGTGCCGATTCGGGGCAACCCAAACCGGTGAGAAGTTCAACCAAGGCGGTGGTTTCCTCGACACTGTAATGCGGTGCCGGAATGCCACCATTTGCTGCTGTTGCAGATGATTGCTGAGATTGTTGTGATGTAGTGGTGTTGTTGCTAGCCGTATTATTTACGGAAGAGGCCATCGATGTGGAATTGGTATTGTTCGAGGTGCTCTGGGATATCGATGAGGACGATGACGAGGTGTTGCTGGCCAAACTTGAAGAATTATTGCTTGCCGAGTTTGCAGCCGCAGCGGCGGCAGCAGCAGCTGCTGCCTTCAATGATTTGGCTGTGGCCAATGATTGGGCTGCCCTGGCATATGCCAAACAGGTTCTACCCTCATGATCGGTGTGTTTGATGTTGGCACCGTTCTGTAATTGGAAAATGAAAGAAAAAATAATTTAGTAAAAATGTAATTGTAACACAGTTGTGGCGTTTTATTTGAACTTACCCATATCAAAAGTTGAGCAATTGCCAAATTTCCAATGGCACAAGCCAATAGTAATGGTGTCCTAACGTCTCTAGGACTAACATTGGCATTGGTTACCTCGGGTGTAGAATTGGCCAATATTAAAACAATCGATTTCATATCAGATCTGAAATAATGAAATTAAAATAAAAATGTTAATAAATATATATATATATAATAAATATTTAAATGTAAAACTAAAATGTGAAGTTATATTCTTTTTTTAAAAATGAGATTCAAAATGTTTTGTGATTCTATTCAAAAATTCTGAATGTACTTCTTGGCTAAGAGATATGCTCCTAAATTTGTTAAAGGAGTTTAGGTGAAAAATTTTTTAAGGGAAAAATAAAAAAAATAATTTTTGCCTTTTTTAAAATTAATTATTTAAATTTTTATTTAAGTTAATAAAATGTATTGTGAGGTACACTAAAGAGAAAGTTTTATGAATTTTTAAAGAACTATAGGAGAACCAAAATAATTTTTTAAAGGAAAAATAAATAGATTAACTTCAGTCTTTTTCAAAATTTAAATAACTAATTTGTTTTCAAAATTTTAATAACTAAATTTAAATTTTTTATTATAATTTTTTAATAATTATAAGGTTTATTCATATTCAAATATGTTTTAATAGATTTTTTTTCTTTAGTTTCTAAGCCATATTTTTTACAGGCTTTTGAGATTTATTGTGGATCACTTGAAAGATTGTTCAAAATTTTTTTTTAAATAATTTTTTCAACATTTTTTGCTGAAGTTATAAAAATGAGCCTTTGAAAAGTTTATACATAACTATAAGATTTAAATCGAATATTTGTTGAGGAGCATTTTTCAAAGAAAGTTTTTTTTTTTAAATTTTCTATTCCAAACTCTTGACCCTAATTTTTGTTATATTTTATTAAAGTCATGTCTTCTTACCTAATCACAGCTTCAATTAATTGCTGACCCGGTGTTGCATTGGTATTTGTATTTGGTGAAGGTAGAAATTCTTTTGCCTCATATTTACTTCTGATCCAGGCCTCTTTCTCTTCGCGTGATGTATTTGGTTTTGGTTTGGTTCTTTGGCGTGTATTTGCTTCCCAAACGGAATTAGCCAAGCTATTGCCGATGGCCAGCATGACACTTAAGTGGCCAGCACTGTGTGAAAAAAACAATATTTATTAATAATCAAATAAAAAAACAAAATTTCTATTCAAAATACTTACGGCCAATCATCCAAACCCAATGAACGAACTTTGGAAATATGTGAACCCAAATTACGATGGACACCCGAGCATTCGATGCACATGAGGACACCCAAATTTAAGCTGGCCCATTCAGGATCTGCAAGGAAAGAAAGGATGTGGGATTAAAAAACTACTCTCCAGCTACTTCCATTTCCACACAACAACTCATGGAACTCAAAGGCAAATAAATAAATAAAAAAAGTAACCGAACATTAAACTCACTTGGTGCATCACAGTCAACGCAATAACCATTACCCGGTACCCTGGTACGTATCGTCACCATCGATGCCAATTCACTGGTTGTGGCCGGTTTCAATTTGGTACTCTCTATGCTCTGTAGACTCTTGAATATCTCCTGCTCAATGGCGGCCACCCATTCGTCGCGTTCCTCGGAATTGGCTGCCTCGAAATGCCATTGCTTCGAGTCCAATGAAACAATATAGAATTCATAGCCATCAGAGTCATCAATTTCATTGGACTTGACGCTACTGCTCTTCATACGTCTATGACGTTTCTTAACATTTGGTGTTTGGGCTTCCAATTTATTGGAGGCATTTACAGCTAATAGTTCACGTTGTGAATTCTCACCGGGTACGGCCAGGAAAGTTTGAGAATTTGAATTGGACATGGCTATGCCCTCATCGCCACTGGTCTGTTGGGATGAGTTTGATTTGACTGCTGACTCCTTAAGGGGTTCGAAAACTGGAGAAAGAAGAGGAACGGATATTAATTAGGAACCCATTACAAAATCTTGTTATTTACTCAACTTACCATTATTTGTGGAGAGCATAGATGTGGTCAAAGCACTATTTGTTATGATGGACTTGGATCCTCTTGGTTTCTGGCCCGGCACCTTAACGGTAACATATTGCAATGGTATCTCCTTGCCGTGCACATCATCCATGTAATCATGCAGCGATGGGTGATAGGTCAAGCGACCATCATCACACAATGTTACATATTTCTTTTTCCATTCCTTGTTCAAGGACTTGCTCGATCGCTTATACAAATAACCCTGTTTAATGGGTATGGAACGGCCACTACCCAGCTCACCATTTTTCATATCCTTCTCACCCTTTTTCGATGAGGAGGGTATGAAGAGATTTGATCTTCTGCGCGACTTACGACTGGCCGTAGGCGTTGAGGTGGGTGTGGGTAAATCTTTGCCGCCTACACCCATATTAGAGTCTTTTTCTCTTAAAGGCACCAATGAGAGGGGAGCCAATTGCTCAGCGGCTGAGGCCGAATCCCGCATACCAATGCCGCCACCTTGGGGATTGTATTTGGTAATATTGTTATTCTCATTAGTTAAAGCATATTCCCTATCACGATTATGATGAGATCTCAATTGGACATGTTGTGAATCCTGCTGCTGGGCATTGTGTTGTTGCCACAATTTTTGTGCCGTCTGGCCGCTGGGTGGTAAACTATGTTGTTGCTGTTCGCTATGTACAAAATCGGCACTCATACGCATGGGTATGTGATGTGTCGAACTGGACAGGACATGATGGCGATGTGGTAATGTCAAATTGCCAGCGGTATTTGATGCAGAAGCGGCCGCAGCAGCACCACCACCACCACTTGTACTTTGCATAGAACTAGCCGAAGAATTTGAATTGGATGAAAAACCATTGGCATTCGTGCTACCATTACTGCTGGCATTGTGATGATAGGATGCAATGCCTAGGCGGGTGCCTTGAGGTGTGGTTGGTCTTGAGGTAACAACTGAAGCGGGTAGGGGTAGACGTTGTGAGAGGATTTTTTGACAAGCTGGAAGAGATGAATGAAATATTATAATCAGAAATTAAAAAAACTACCAAAAAATATACAAATAGCTAATTGGCGCCCAACGTAGGGCAATTGATTTATATGACATAATAGCAGTATTTTTCCAAATTGTGGAGATTCTATAATTTTTATGAATAAAAAAACTACCAAAATTACTATAAAGAAAAAAATGGCGCCCAATGTGGGGCAGAACTCTAATTTTGATGTATTTTAAAAATTTCCAAGATACATTATTTGATGTATTTGACATGTAGAGCAATCCTTCAGCTATTATTAGGAAAAACAAAAAATATTAAAAATGGCGCCCAACGTGGGGCATGTGATTTATATGAAATAATTGCAGTAGATTGATCTATACTTTGAAGCTATTGAGATTCTTTGATTTTTAATAAATAAAAAAAAACTACCAAAAATTATGGAAAGAAAAATGGCGCCCAATGTGGGGCAACTATAGACTATAGAGCAATTTTTCAGCGATTAAAAATAATAAACTTAGGAAGATAATATGTCAGACCTAATTTCTAGAAATTGGCGCCCAATATGGGACTTGAGAACGAAATAATTTTATTTAATTTCTTGATTTAATATATATTAGACATATATTGAAGACATAAGCTAATTCAAAGGATTGAAAAGGGAAAAATACAAAAAAATCAAACATGGATTTGATACTTATGCATTATTTTATTATTTTTAGAACTATTCTAGAAATGAGCAGTCAAGAATTTACTTGAATTAATATTAAAAAATAATCAATCAAATAATCAAAAAAGTGAGTTGGCGCCCAATGTGAGGATGAAGTTTAAACTATTTTTTTAATATTTAGAAGATAACGAGTGAAGAACTCATATACTGGTGCAATTTAGAATAAAAATATAGCTTTAGATGTATATTTGAAAAAAAAAAAACGCAAATATGGCGCCCAACCAGGGTTCGTGGTTTAATTTTTAGTTATTTTATTAAAACAATTTAAAAGTTAAGATTCAATACCACAAGATAAGTTTGAAATAAAATATCTTACTTCTAATTGAAATTAATATAAAGGTAGCGCCCAACGTGGGGGCATTTTTAATTTGGATTTTTTAACTCACCATCTTGAAACACTCTCTCCACATTTAGACCATACGTGGCACATGTCTCATAATATGAACAACGTTTCAAATCATTGGCCAGCTTGCGGGCTCGCGAATCATCTATGACACGGGGATTACGTTCGCTAATTGCATCCTGAGTGCCCACCAAAATCATGGGAATCTCCTGGCCATTGCGGAAATGTGCCATTTTGGTATAATAATTGTAGACTGTATTAAAACTCGATTCGTTTTCTAAACTAAAAACGAAGATGACAGCATCAACCCAGGCAGCAAACTGTGGAAGAAAAAAAAAATAAAACAAATGAATAAAACTTCAAACACACACACACATATATGAATATAACTGAAGCCCTAAGAAATGTGTACATACAACCGGGATAATGAGTTATTTATTTAAAAAAAATGAAAGAATAAGAATAAAAAAGAATGTTGGCTTTTGTCTGGCAAATCCTTGACTTTGTATAATTGCTGTGCTTTAAACTTGACTTAAGGTTAAGGTTTCACGACGATGATGTGAAGAAGAAGAACAAGGACTTTGTTTTGGAACAAAAGGTAAACGGCTATACAATGAGGAAACCAAGGTGTTTGCCATTGAGGGGCGTTTGTTTGTTCTGCTTTTTGATGAAAAGGATATGAATTTAAAGGCAGGGACTAAATTTGGATTAAAAAGGAAATTTAATGGAAGTTTTTTTTTATCTGAAACTTTAAAGAGAACCCAAAAATCAATTGATTTTGTTTTCTGCCAGAGTGAATAGCAGCGGCAGCAAAGAGTTTTTCAATTAACAACAATATACCGGAAGTTCAATGGCTGTGACCGGTAGCCCTGACACCCCATTGAAACTTTCTCAAAGCATACTTTAGGGGGGAATTGTTGGATATTTTGTTAGGGGTTAGCTGATGGCTGCTTGACCATTGGTGCTTATTTAAGCATAAAATTGCAAAAAAGGATAATGAACTTTAGTTTGTTTTAAGAAATATTTACCAATACCAATATGATGTGATGACATAAAAAGAATTGCTTCTACTCAATTTGTTGTTGTTACTGAGAGCAATTTAAGCATAACTCCCCATTTGATTTATTATTTGGTTATCCTGTAAATTGTTGCACACTGCGCAGGTTTGTCAATGGGTAAAGGTAAAAAGGGATGGTTGAAATGCAATGCAGCAATGGCATGGAGAGAATGGAGGGGGTAGGGGGCAAATTATTTTAGAATTTTACCTTTCTCTTTTTTTGGTTATTGCTTTTAAATTTTAATTTTTATATTTAAAAAAAAAATACAACCGTTTTTTTTGTTTTAGAATCTATTAAGGCCTTTGGAATATTTTGTAACACAATTTAAGTTAGCTTTCTTTTATGGACTCTCTTCCTTTTTTGGGGAAAGAAATAACACACAAAACTTCCGCGTGAAAACACAACTCACTCGATTGATGGCTCTCGTTAAACTGTATGGGTAATCGGCCAAGAGACCCCCATGAAGTTAGCACAGCCGGGTTTTCCTACAGGATAACCAAAAACCGAGCGAAATGAATGTTGGGAGCATAACACAGTGGGTGGTTGGTTGGATGGCGGGCCATCCATAGAGAATCCAAACAAGAGAGAGAGAGCCAGCCATGACATACACACACAAAGTGTTAGTCTGTGAAAAATCCACAATTATGTTTGTTTGTATTCCATGGCGGCACATAAGTAATAAAAAAATCACATATTCCAATGGCAAGGAGTCGTCCTATGCTCTCACATTGAAACAGGACTATCAATAGAACATGTAAACACTGTTCTACACATACGCACACACACAACCACATGTATGCATGGAGTTGGAATCGAGCAGGAAGACTGACTGTTTTTGTATTTAATAAAGTTTGGTTGGATGGATGTATGAATGTTTATTGTGGCCATGTCTGAAAATTGTTTGATATTGTCGCCAGAGTGGCGTCCTGGCTGTCTTACAAATCGTCAACAGAATATACCGCAATTTATTCGTTGTGTATGTGTGTGTGTGTATCTCTGTTTGGCTTTATTATGCCATAACTTTGCTTGCCTTGCTCTTGGCTCATAGGAAAAAAGTTATTCAATGTTACAATGTTTTCGTTTTTTTTCCCCCCTCGCACAAAGCCTAAATGTATGCTTTTATTTTATCACAACAATTTGTTGGATATAAAATAATAGAAGAGTTTTATTTTATTTTTTTATTTTTAATTAATTTCAAGTTTCCAATGATTTGAAGGGGAGTTTTAGAGAGAAGATACAAGCGATAGGGAACTTTTGAAACAAAATTAAACAAGAACAGATTTTAGAGCCGATCTCTGGTGGTAAATTGGGTCTGTATAGAAATTTTAAAAGAAGATGAATAAAACTGAAAAAATGCAAAAAGTAACATTTCTGTGACAGATGGGATCTCTAAAAATGCCACAAAATAAGATAAATATTCAGATTTTGAAAATTATAGAAACGACTGTATTCATCTATGGCTACGTCAGTGCCCCGAGCTATGGAGATTTCTAATTTTATACTGACTCTCTAAAATGCCACAAAATGGGATCAAAATTCCGATTTTTTGGAAATTGTTTGAAAATCATAGAAGGAAAAGTTAATATATTCTGAGCTATGGTGATTTCTAAATTCATATTGACTACAGATTTACTTCGAATTATTTAAAATTGGCTGGGGCCTCTATGGATTCAGAACCAGTGACATGAAGCTGAAATCAAGCCGATGCAAAGAATTCGTTCTTTTTAATTTTAAAAAATTCGATTAAGTGAAATACTACCAATCGTACTTAGGAATTTTTTTTATCTGAATCTCTAAAAAACAATTAATTGATTTTTTTTTAAATAAAATTTATATTTTTCAAGGAACGTATTTCATTACTTAACCTGAAAATAGCCTTCAATAAAATATATAAATATTTTTCATGTTTTTTTTTTCTAACCCAGTACGAACATGATTATAATGATTTTCCGCTCAATTCTTTTAATTTTATTCTTTCACAAAAAACTTCAAACGTTTCACAAAAACCCACCTATTATAACTTAGCCTAGAAGTATGCTATTATTCCCAGTCTGCCATGTATAAAATATACAATTATTTCTTGTATTTGTGCAAGCATGTGATAGAGAGGGGGATGGAGTGGCAAGTAGAGGAAGCATAGAGAACTATGGAAGAGCATAAATATTCTTTTCTTTTTGTTGACTTTGAAGAAATACAAAATTGAGAGTTTTTTATCTTCCATAAGAATAATTCTCTTTTTAAGAGAAACTAAGACAGAGAAAGAGATTTACCGGTTGTTAAGTTTGGGAAAAACCTTCAACTTACCCCCTTTTTAAACTGTTGTTACTGTCATTGCTTTACTAATAGGCAATTTGTGAGGGGGAGAGGGGTTTTAGAAAGAAATACACTTTAGAAAATAAGCCTAAAATAACATTTTTAATAAGAATTTTAAAGCATACTTTTAGGCATTTGATAGAGAATAGATTTAATTAAATGTCTCTTTTTTCACAAAAAACCCACCTATTATTAATTATATTTTTTAACATATTTTTTATAATAAAGCGAACTTTGTAGCATACTTTTAGTATTTGTTATAAAAGGTCTTTGAAAAATTCACGGAATTTCTAGATCAATTGTATTTTGAGATACATTAATTTAAGTTGTTATTCTTTGGATATAAAAAGTAAAGCACACTTTTAGGCGTTTTTGAATTTCCAATTTGAACAACTACTTCAGATTCCTCATTTCCATAAAATATTACTATGAACCCATTTATAAATCCCATTTAAATTTAATAGCGTATTTCTAGGAATTGCATATTAGTGTAATAAGTAGCATACTTTTAGGAATTTTTAAATAAATTATTTTTACATAGAATATTTCTTAAAGTTAAAATTTAATGAGCCTTGAAATTTTTCCAAACGAAAAAGTTTTTTTTTCAGAAATTATTTAAAATTTTAGAGCATACTTTTAGGCTTTCAAAAAAAATGGAATTTCTTAGTATTTTTCCCAGTGTAACACTTGAATTTCCCTCAATTATTTCCCACATAAATCAAAATGCATTATAAAAATGATTGTAAACGTAATTGCTGGAAGGACGGCACAACTGTACTGGCACAACCTGGAGCATATTCCTCCTTCATATTCCCAGGCTCATAGAATATTCGACGACTTCAGGCTTAACTGGGAAATACAATGTAAATTGCCATGAAAATATGAAATATTTAATTTGATTTAATGACATAGTTCAAGTGTGTGTGTATGTATTTGTGGCGCGAGAGTAAAAACGGAAACCAACGTCAACGCCAATGTGGAAGGATATGGGAAGTTATGCCCTTTTTTTCTTTGTGCATTTTGTTTGGCAGCTGTATTTGAAGGAAAATAATTGTTCACAAAACGCGAAAATAATGACACGCGTGTCCCATGTTTTCGCCTGTGATTTTTTGGGGGAGTCATTGCCGGAGTTTGTGTTGAGCGCGTTAAGTAAAATGCAATATTACGCTAAGAATGCTGCCTCATCATGTTTGAATGTGAGCGTTGTTTTGCTTTGCATTCAAGTGCCAAAGTCTCAAGAGCACGTGACGTTGTTAACAACCACCATTACAGCTAGACGTTTTCTTATCCTCTTTTTGTATCCTCAAGATGGAATAGAAGCCAGAAATGCAGTAGTTAAATGCGCTTAAGTAAATGTGGCATAACGCCAAGCAAGGGGGATGGTTGCTGGACCTGAGGGGTGGATGGGTGGGTGGCGGTGGTGCGAAGGTAAACATCTTTGTAACACACACAGATGCAGATGACATCCCCTCACAAACCTTCAGAAAAACAAACCATCTCTGGAACTTTTGTAACAAATCAAGGTTGTGCCACAGCCACATCTTAAGGGGCGGGTTAAACACAAATATATAGAAAACCAAAAGCCTTGCATAGAAAATCCTTGAGGACGCGTGCCATGGTGTGTGCTATTTATAGAAGAATGCCAAAAAAAATAACAACAAGGATTATTTCATTTTTTTTCACCCTGGCAAACCCTTTGCCCAACATCCCTGGGACCATGACGATGTTTGTCGATTTTCTATCCCAACTACTCCAATGTTGGGATGTTGTTGTTGCACAACGTATAGATGTTATCATTAGAAATTGTTAGCCAAGTTATGCCTGAAGGTCCTTTGGCTGATGATGTTTCTCTTGTTGGTGCAGCTAGCAAATATGTGTGTATGCATGATGCAATGAAAATTGGAGCCAGAGAGTTGCAAAAAAGAAAAACAAAAAACCAACAACAAACG